GTCATCCTTCCAATACCATCAGAGAGGTCAGAGTACTCCCTTTACACGCGAAGAAATGGAGAGCTAGAGATCTCAGGTCACTTGCTGAAAGTCACACGGTCTTTCTGCAACCCATCAGGTCTTCTTTCTTATTACCGCACTGCCTCCCATAAATAAAAGCTTTAAGAAAGTGTGTTCTGATTTTTCCTTGCACCATTTCTTTAGCTCCTTTCAGACATCACCTGGCAGGGACTGAGGAGTGCACATAGAAAGGGATACTGAGCTAGCGTTTTGCAGTTAAAAGTAGAAGTTGTTCCACCCATGCCGTACATGAAAGAACGGCCCAGAGAGGTTAAAAAACTACATTCTGGAGGAGGGGCAGGGTTTTTTGCGCAGGGACAAGGGGCCAGGGGGTGAGGGGAGGGTGTGAGGAGAGCAGGGCTTAAAGATGATTTCTAGCCCGAGAGCTAAGTTATTCAAATTATGTCTACAGATCCCATTCGTGGGTCCTTAAGACTAACAAGCCTGTCCACTTCCGTGTCCGGAGTCTACATCTGCAAAGCCCACAATATTGCTGGCAGTGCCCAGTGCAATATCACCCTGGAAGTGTGCACAGGTCAGTGAGGGGCAAGTGTGGATAAGATACTGTTCAATGGTGGTGGGGGTGGTGCTACAGGAGAATAGGGGTGACCTGTTTTCTGGGTCCACTGATTCTCACAGGACAGAGTTTATATAAAAGTTGGGTACAAATGGCCACTCACCATGTTCTGAATGACCAGCTGCCTCCATGTTTACATGGAAGTAGAGAGATGATAACAATAGAGAGAGTGTTAGAGCTGGATGGAGACAGATGGGACCTGCTGGTTATCCTCGCTGACACCAAGGCTTTTGCAGGGCCTGGGCCTGCAGTGGTTGCTGGAGCTGTTGTGGGCACGCTGATTGGATTAGGCCTGCTGGCCGGGTTGGTCCTTTTGTACCAACGCTGGAATCATGGCCTATAGGAGCCAGCTCATGATATCAAGTAAGTGTCCCTGGTCTTTACCACAATGAGGGTGTTCCTAGCTCCTCTTACAGAGCCTAGGAGTTCAGGCAGCTGCCATCTCATGGGAAGGTTTCTGTTTAATTCCTCTGGGCAGACTTTGAGGAGGAGGGGGAGGAGGGTTGAAGTGGGTTGGGGGTGGGATGGGTAAGACAAAGCATGTCTGTCTGTCAAAGCCATGCACTTTCTGACCTCTTACTTATTTACATTTAGGGAGGATGCCACCGCGCCCAGGACCCTGCCCTGGCCCAAGGGTTCAGATACACTCTCCAAGAATGGAACCCTTTCCTCTGTCACCTCAGCACGAGCCCTCCGACCACCCCACGGCCCTCCCAGGCCGGGCACACTAACTCCCACGCCCAGTCTGTCTACCCAGGCCCTGCCCTCACCAAGGCTGCCTAGAACAGAGGAAGCCCATCTTCAGGCAGGGTCACCAAGCCCTGGCAGAGTTTCTTCCTCTGCTCTGGGTCGCATGGGAGCTGTGGCTGTCATAATGCCTGCCCAGAACCATGCTGGGTCTCTGGTGTGATGGCCCCCCCACTCCTTCTGGTTTCTCTCCTTTCTAGAGGGTCTCTCCTAGGACAGAGGTCAATTCTGGGAGAGCGACACATTCCAGATCAACAATCCTCTGCTCCCCCTTATCTTTATGAGAAAATTGAGAATCATGAGAAGCTAAATTCTAGGAAGTAGAAGGAACAGAGACAGTGGGCCTGGTGTTTGCAAGACCCTCCTCCCTCTCCATCCCACCCAATATACACAGCTGAGTGCTAATAAGACTGGCTACTCCCCAAGGCCTTTGTGGGAATTGCCAGTCAGTGGCTCCTCTAGGCTCCCCTCTTTGTCCGTCATCCCTACCTAACGTCATCCTCTGCCCTCATCCAGTTTCTGGCATTAATTCATCTAAATGGTCCTGCTGGCTTGCTTGGTTTTTTGTAGGCAGGGGATAGGGAAGATATTTTTTTAAAAACTAACTTGAAATGTCATTTTGCTTTTGTAAACATCAATAAAGACAAACTGTGCATGTATAAAAAGTGAGAACCCAATGACCTTTTCAAGCTTGGGTTTCCCAGAAATTGAGATGAAGGAAGACGCATCCTAGGCGACTACCCAGCCTGTCTACCCAGAAGGCTCCGGCACGCAGCCTCGGCCGTGCTCACCAACTCAGGATTGCTTTCCTCACCTCTTTACAGGGATTATTTGCTGGACTAAGGGGAGAGACGGAGGAACAGAGTTGGTATTCTGTTGTCAGTTCCAACTCATGGCAACCCAACATGTGTTAAGAGTCGTGCGGCAAGAGAAATTAATAAAAGGAGAGAGAGAGAGAGAGAGGAAGCATGTCTCCATGGGGTTTCGGGGTTTCAGAAAGAAGATTGTGTGGCTGCTCTTTGGGGCCGACTCTGAAACGCGAGGGGATGATTGGTGCCCTTTCTGCTGTAGCTCAAGGATGCTCCTTCCTTCCTTTCTCGGTGTTACTTTCCCTCCTGATCTCCAGTTGTGATCCTTTCCCATCTGGGTGCCCACCCTAAGCCCAACCCCCCTCTCCAGGGCCTGGCAGCTTCAGAAACTGGGGGAAGAGAAAGGAGGCAAAGAAGAAGCCGAGTCTGAGTGGGTTTCAACGAAGGAGGAGGGTTTCCTTTCCTGAGAGTTCCGGCCTCTCCCCTTGTTCACTCTGATATAGCCAATCTCACTCCCGACCAGCAAAATGCTGCTGCTCTTTGGGTGGTCCCTTCCTAGATCCAGACCTTTGCAGGCAGACAGAACAACAGAGGACTAGAAGGCAGGTCTCTCTGAGCCATGACCCCTTTACCTGGGCCTTTCCTATGTGGTGCTCTGCTGGGCTTCGTTGCCATCAGTGGTAAGGAGAGGAGCTGGGGCAGAACCACCTAGAACTGGGACCAGAGAGCTCACTTTTCTGAGCCACTTCAGGCCAGCGTAGTCAGCCCTCTGTAGCACTGAGGTCTGGAGCAGTAGAGGAGAGTCCAGAGGGGAGGGCATGGGAGCAGGGTAGACGAAGTGGCCTCTCAGACCCCTGGCTTAATCACACAGTGCTGTTGTTTTCCTTGCCCTACAAACACACCCTCACCTGGCTCAGCTCCTTTCACCCAGGACAACCTGGCCAAGCTCCTTCCAGCTTTAAATCTTTGGTTTGGAGAAGGGAGAGGAGATTCAAGGCAGGGGTTTACACTCTTCAGGTGCGACTCCCAACCTCTGTTGTGGGAGTCACATAATAGATTGGACCCCCAACATTACCAGGACCTTGTTCTGGCCTCTGCCCTCACCCGTCCCTTTGCATGCATCTTCTGAGGGCTACCTCTGTGTCCCCAGTCCCTGGGCTGGCCTTGGAGGTGAAGGTGCCTGCTGAGCCACTGAGCATGCCCGTGGGCACGACTGCTGAGTTGACTTGCAGCTACAGCACTTCTGTGGGGGACAACTTTGCCTTGGAGTGGAGCATTGTGCTGCCTGGAACACCCATCTCTATTTCTCATCCTGTGAGCTCAGAGCAACGGCTAGGGGTGCGAAGTGGCAGTGGGGGCTGGGGTGGGGGGGATGGCATATGGGAGGTGAGGTGAGAGAGGGGGTGTCTTCCCAACCGTTAGAGGGGTTGCACTGAGAAGCAGGAAGGCACAATTGTTTCATCTGCCTCTTCACAGATCCTGTACTTCACCGATGGTCATCTATATCCGGTTGGTTCTAAGGCAAAGTGGGCCAGCCTGCTTCAGAACCCCTCCCACCCACCCCCACACACAGTGTGGGGCCACCCTGAAATTGAGGGGCCACCCTGAAATTGAGTGAGGCCCACCCCTCAGACACTGAAACCTACCTCTGCCAAGTTAACAACCCACCAGATTTCTACACCAATGGGTTGGGGCTAATTAACTTTACTGTGCTGAGTAAGGTGAGCTGGGGTTCCAATAGTCACCTATGCACTTTGAAAGGTTTCTCTGGCCCACTTAAATCTCCCCATATCCTGAATCCAAGCCTGAGCCTAAAGTCCCCCTGGGATTCCATTGGAATGGCAATGCCCCCTTTCAAACTCTTCTAATCTAGTTGGTCATAATTTAGTTACACCCTGCACAGAGAGTGCCTCTGCCCTCAGACCTGGGAAACAAAGGGTCTCAGAGAGAAAGTCTGGCCTCTAAGGGTATCATCCATGTCACAGGAACCTCCCATTCACCGCTCAGATTCTGTCCAGCACCAAGATAAATGGTAGAAAAGGGGTGTGGCCATAAAGGAATATGAACCCCATATCTGTTTGTTGGTATCACCTTTACTATTCACTCTTAAAACTTCCATCTAACCCCAAACTAGAACCTACTTAGAGGTGAGCAAGGAGGTGTAATATGCAGCTGTATTCAGATCTTTGGAGGGCTGGTGTGTAGTACCGATTTTCATCTCTCTTGGTGGGCACCAGAAACCAACTCTCTGCCATGGAGTCAATTCTGACTCAGAGTGACCCTGTAGGGCAGGGCAGAACTGCCCCTGTGGGATTCCAAGACTGTAACTCTTTGTAGAAGCAGAAAGTCTCCTCTTTCTCCTATGGTGCAGGTGGTGGTTTAGAACTGCTGACCTTGAGATTAGCAGCCCAACACCTAACCACTCTGCCATCAGAGCCCCTTTGATGGGCAAAGAGGACAGGAATGGGGACCAATAGGCAGATAATACATTAACACAGGTTTTGGTTCAAGAGGAGGAAGAATTGTCTAACAGAATTTCCAAAAGTGGAAATCACTTCCTTGAAATAGAGTATTCTAGAAGACAACATCAACAACAAATCTTATCACTTGCATCTCAGGGAATCCCCATGTGGAATCCCCACGTAGAACTATGCTCTTTACTGTTTTCAGTGATTGATTTTGGGGGTGTATGTTCTCAGGTCATTATTGCAGGCTTCTCTGGACTACACTTGCACTTGAACCTCTGACCTGTTAGTGTCTCCTTCGGATGCCTGTCTGAACAGAAATGGAGCACAGTTTGGCAGGGGTATTGAAACAGGGATTTCAGCAATTACTGGAGTCTGGGTTAGAAGACAGCTAAGGTGCTTTCTATGATTCCCATTGCAGTGCCCCCCAGTAGCCCCTCCTGCACTCTGAGTGGCCAAACCTCTGTGGGAGGCTCTGTTGCACTACACTGCAGCTCTTCCAAGGGAGCACCCAAGCCTGTGTACAACTGGTTGCATCTTGGATCTTCTCCTACACATTCTCCTCAGAGCATGATGCAAGGTAAGGACCCAGGCCATCAAGATGTGGGCAATTAGGGCATCTAAACTCCACACACCCACTTTGTAGATATAGAAAGCCTTGTCTTTCTTCTGCAGTGCAGCTGGTGATTTAGAACTACTGACCTTTGGATTAGCAGCCCAAAACCTAACCACTATGCCATCAGAGCCCCTTTGGTGGGCAAAGACGCCAGGGACTGAGACCAATGTGCAGATCAATAAATCAACACCGATTTAGGCTCATCATGGGGAAGAATTTCCTAACCATCAGAATTTCCCAAGAGACCCAAGGAAACAAACGGGGGGAGTGAACTTTGGAAAGCGCAGGGAGCTAGAGGGTACAGAAAGGGTTTGGATTAAGTAGGTTCCTTTGGTCCACAAACACAGACATATGATCTGGAATATGAGACAACCCATTTTGAGCCTTTCCCTTCCTCTTCCGAGGCTTCTTGTTCTTCCCTGTCTTGTATTCCTGTACTCTGTGGCTGGTGGATCTGGGAGTATCTCTCAGTCTAAATGTATACCTGACATCCTTGTAGAATAGAGGGCAGGGAGCATTCAGATGATTCCCACTTGTTTTCTTTTGGGAATCTGTTTCATATTTTTAGGATCCTGAATCCTTTTCAGACTTTCCAGAATGGAACCTGAGGCTGTGGCATGGCCATTTTTAATCATTAAAGGAACCATACTTGTGTGATTAGCTTTGGCTCTTATGTTGCTGATGTTCGTTCCAGTTGCCCTTTCTCGCCATTGTGTCTCAGACACAGCAAATCCCTTTATCACCCCAGGGCCCACTCATGTCCCTCCTCCTCTTCCCAGTATTGTGCTCTGTCTACTAAAGCAAAGGTAAGGATTTAGGAAATCTTTGGGTCCATTTAGAAATACCCAGGTGTGTGGGGGGGGGGTTGGTGCGTGGAGGAGGGCTACAGATTTTAGCCATCAAGTCTTTTACTCCCATCAACCCCATTCCCAACTCCACTGTAAGTTTCTTAACCTTTCATGTGAATGCAGTAACACCCTCCCTCCCCCCAAATACGGATGTGTAGGGAGGGGAGATTAACCCCAGAGGTTGCACTGCCTTTGACACTTTGTGTCTGGGTCACCTTGAAAAATGATTTCCTTTCTCTGAGCAAATTTCCTCACCAGTAAAATGAGGTTAATTGCTTCCTGGGAGGATTTCGTAAAGAATTCAATGAAGTGTTCTTTAGAGGTAGTAGATGTTCATTGTTCACTGAGTGAGCGAAGGGCTATTTCTTCATCACGTTCTAGATGAAGTGGCTGGCCGACTCATTCTCACCAATCCTTCTCTGACGTCTTCTGGCACCTATGGCTGTGTGGCCACCGACCAGCTGGGCAGTGCATTCTGTGAACTGACTCTCTCTGTGACTGGTAGGGAAGTGTGGGCAGAAGCCATAGTGGCAGGCTTGGATTGGGTGGGGGTGGGGGGGGTATGCGGGGCTGTTTGAAGAGGGGCCAAGCAGGGCTTGGCAGTGTGAGTCTTGTGTTTCCTTAGACATCTCCAGAGACCGAGTAGCTGGGGCTCTGATTGGGGTGCTCCTGAGTGTGTCATTCCTGTCAGTTGCTGTGTTTTGTCTGACCAGGTCCTGGAAGGAAAGGAAGGCGAGACCCAAGGAATCGTACGGGTTAGTAAACTTCGTTAAGTAGAGGGCTAGGGGGACAGAAAGAGAGGACAGGGGTCGGATTAAGTAGGTCTCTTCTGCCCTCAAACAGAGGTCTTCAGGAATGTTGAGGGCAAGCGAGCACTGCCCAACCCTGGGGTTTGATGGTGGTGTTTCAGCAGCATGAGTGTGTAGGCAAGGCCGGTTGAGCAGGGTAACAGGGCAAAGGGATTTGTTCTCAGACAGGGGCAGGTTGGACTCTCTTTTCAGGACTGCCCGCCCTTCTTCACACGTAGACCATTTTCTTTGCAGTTTTATATACATCACTAACCCAGGACAGGTAGCAGGTAATGGATGCAAGGAGCTGAATTTGTCCTGAGCTCAAATGAATTTCATTCCTTTGTGGGTGGCAGTACGGAAATGAGACACAGAAGTAGCCTCCATTATCCACTTAAGCTCTTAGTTCTGGGGTGCAGCTTGGGAACCCAAACAGGGACTCACCAAGTTTGGTCCTCAAGTGGCCGAGGCAGAAATCACTGGGAGCTTGTCAAACATTTTGACTTCCAGGACGCATGCTATCCCTACTAAAGCAGAATCTGGGTCTGTGTGTGCGGTTTGGGGGAGTGAGGGGACACTGAACGCTTCATGATAAGCAAGCCCAGGGATGATTTTCAAGCACAGGAACACTGAAAGGCCAGAGCCTTCTGAGGGAGGCGGCAGAGCTGACCTTCACTAACAATTAGCTTCTGTCCTTCAGGGAGGATGCCATTGCTCCTTGGGTTTCTGAGCAGACTTCTTCCAAGGAAGATGCTAGCAGTGGGTTCCAGGAGAGCTCCCCATCTGCCAGCAGCACTGTGTTAACCACCAGGCCCAAGCTCTCTATGGTAGTGTGAATTCCCTTCCCTCCTAATCCCTGGAGGAGGGAAGAGATTAGGTGGGATGTTAATAAAAGCCTTTGTGTACCTTGGTCTCCCTCTTCATTCTGCAGGTCTCTTAAGAATTCCTGTAGCCAGAAAGTGCAAGTAGGAAAGGGCTTGGAGTGCAAGAACTGTTACTGTAGGCAGGGGATTTGAGTGGAACTAGTCAGAATTTATACCTGGTTGGCCCCTTCCTGCCCCCTCCCCCCTCATGACATCCCCATCCCCGCCTCTACCCCCACCCTACTCCAGCTTTTTGGCCCAGGTAGAGGTGACAAGTTTGAGCTCCAAGCACTGGCTGCTAGCACCCAGACTTACTCCCACCTGGCACCCTCTGAACACTGGAACATTCCTCTTTATTGTTCACATTCCAGCCCAGCAGGGTTACATGCACCAGCAACATTAAAAACCTTCCAGTCTGAGCACCAGGAGCCAGGGCCGAGCCTCTCCCCACCATCATGCACCCTCACCCCTGGACTTTGCTTAAACTGAGAGCCGGGGAGCTGGCTCTCAGGTTGCTTTGTGTAGAAGGGAGGGCAGATTTCAGGCAGGAGTGGAACTGGGGTGTGAAACAAGGACTACTTTTTGAATCAGCACAGGGGCTTTCAGACACCATAAAACTCTCTTCTCTCCTGGGCATGGATAAAAATCCCTGAGGCTGGGTTTGGGCAGAGCCAGCAAGGAGAAATGGGTGCCCACTTTAGGGGCTTACAGAACAAAGGTTTTTTTTGTTGTTGTTAAGGAAGCTGCTCTCTTTGTTAAGGGAGCACTTGGGGCACCACTTGCTCAGGGATAGCACCCCTGGGCAGTGAAGGCAGAGCCACATGCTGGACCAAGGGGGAGCAGCAGGAGCCAAGGACAGCATGGGGCACTGGAGGGCAGGACCCAGAGCAGGGAGCCAGGGCAAACGGGGCAGTACTAAACAGGAGAGCTAACTAAAGGGGGTCAGGCTTGGCGACTCCGCGAAGGAGCCTGCCTGGAAAGAGTCTAGGTCAGGTGGCAGGCAGCTCCTGAAGCTGTTGGGTTGGTGGAAAAGAGGGGATCACAAACACTGCCGGTGAGTCTTGTCACTATTAATGGGCAAGGCATCCATCTCTCCTCGGAAACTGAGGAGACAGAAGGTCTTGAGAACCTGCCCTCTCCAGGTGCCTCCTCTTAGAGTCCCTCCCCGCCTCCACCACCATTTACCTTCTTGAGCCAGGACACCAGAGAGGGGAGTGTCTGCGGGGGGGACCCAGTCACCCAGAACTCCCCACTGAGCTGCATCGAGCTGTGTGGCAGGTACATGTGTACACCGCAGTGTGTTTGTGGCCTTCGGCTGGGTTTGTACAGCCAGATGGGGATGGCGGTGCGTCTGCATCAGGCCAGGCGTGGTGCCCCGTGACCGCCTCGGCGACTCGGTTCACCATGGAACCTTCAGGCGCAGGGGTACATTCTTCTAAACTGAGAGGATGTAGGCCAGGGTAGGCCAAGGGAACGGGCTGCAGGATGGGGGGCTTTTCTCCTATGCAGAGTTCTACCCTGCCACTTGGGGGTTATAATTTTACCTTCGAAAATGCTTAGTTCTTCTTTGGTCCGGGTGCGCAGAAAGGGAGAATTAGAGAGAAAAGCAGGTGAGGCGCGCTTGGAAACCACAGGGTCTGCAGTCTCCCCATCACCCCCCATCACCCACCTTAACCTCCTTGGGTTTTCCACCTCTCTCCCTCTTAGTTTCTCTCACATCCACTCTGCCCCCACCAGCTCGCCCTTAGTCATCCCTGCTCCTTGGGGGGGTTGGGGGGGTAAGGTTCACTGTCAGCAGGTGCTGGGTGCTGGGTCCTCCTCCCTCCACCTTACCTGGCTTAGTCTCCGCTGGGACTGCAGCCTGCTCCTCCCCAGAGCCCCCTGATCCTCCCGGCAACCCGGTGCCAGGACCCTAACAGCCATGCTCTCCACTCTTTATCTTCTTCTGAGCCATGTAGCCCAGAAGCTCCCTTGAATTTGCCCTGCAGCCGCATTAGCACTGCAGCCGCATTAGCACCCGGGTCGTCCAATGGGATGTCTAAAATGTCATCGAGTTTGGAGCAGTCGCTTTCCTGGGGGCAAGGCAGGAAGGTTCTTCTGGGGTGACAGAGCTAAATTCCTAGGAGACTCCCAAGGGATAAGCTAGGGATGGGGCCCTGGAGACACTAGAGCACCAGTCTCCTCGAAGGGCAGTGCATGTTAAGTATCTCTGGATGGCGGCAGGCAGGGCCAGGTGGACTGACAGTTGTACTCCCAGGTCAGGAAAGAACGTGCACAGTGGGGTGGGTGGGTGGGACACAAGAAAACCAGATAGCCCTGAGTGAACGATGGGCCCCCTATCAGGGGAACTTTGGAGCTGACTGGATGGTGGGTTTGAAGAATAGACAGGCATTCCTTGGAAGGTGGTGGAGAAGAGTTGGCAGGACAGTCCCTTCCCTGCGTTGGAATCAGGGTAGTTATGGGGAGAGAAGCCTAAAAACGGATTTTTGGCTGCCTCTCTTTTCCATTGATCCCCAGGATGAATGGAGTACAGAAAAGAGGAGGTAATTTGGGAGAAGGGGCAGAGAAAACATTTCACTCTAAAGAAGGACAAAGGAACGTTTGGTAAAGACAGAGCAAGAGGTCCTTTGCATGATGCGCCTTCCAGAAGATTAAAGGAACTCTGACAATAGCCACCTCTTCAGCACTTACCTTATTCCAGTCTCAGTAACACAGTAAAACAATGTTTTTATAAGCAGCATTTTAAGTAACATAGTAAAACAATGCTTTTATAAGCATTATTTTATTTGTACAATAAAGCTACAGTGCGATTGCTAATTGTTACTCTTGTTTACGAATAATGAAACTAAGGTTTATATTCTAAACATTCTAAACTTTAGAATGTTTAGAAACCTACCTGGTTCTAGACTTAGGATTCAAACCCTTGTATGTCTGAGCCCAAAGTACATTTTTGACCTTTACTCTATACTATAGGATGATACAGCACCAGACATTGATTTGTTTTGTTGTACACAGGTTTCTGTGAGCTGGAACTAACGAGGCAACATCTAACAACAACTCTATAGAATCAGGTGCATTGGTGATTCAGGTGTAGCATGCTCGTTTTCCATATGGAAGACTGGGGTTTGATTCCCATCCTTAATTCTCAGCTAAGCCAACCCAGTGCAGCCATCATTGGTTTGTCAGTGAAGGTTTCAGCTATGATGTTGAATACCATATGTACCTCGAGTATAAGCCAACCCAAATATCAGCCTAGGCACCTAACTTTACCACAAAAGCTGCATTAAAAATGTGCTAAAATGCTCGGCTTATACACGAGTATATATGGTAAGTTTCAGCAGAGCTTCCAGACTATGAGACTATGAAGAAAGGCCTGGTAACTGACTTTTGAAAACTCAGCTGATAACAGCCCTGTGGATTACAACAGTCGGATCTAGCTTTGCATGGGGTCACCATGAGTTGGGGGTCAACTCAGGAGCAGCTAAGAACAACTCTAATGGATTAGAAAATGCAATCTAGAAAATGAACCAAGGCTCTACCACTTGCTAGTTTTTTAATTTCTTTCTCTCAGCTTCTTCACGTGAAAAATCATCATCATAATATTGATCTCTTTGGGTTATGGCAAGGAATAAACAGAATAATATGTATAGTTTCTGACTCAAACTAGTTAATAAATAGAATAAAAGAACACTGTGATTCTTTTAAATAATAATAGTAACCTGGTGTCATCACCCACCGAAGGGGGATCCAGAATGACTTGTCAATTTGAGAAGATTAAGAATGAAGGGGTGGAGTTTAGCCCATCAATCAGGTGGCAGCTTGATGACCTCACTTGGCGGTGCTAAGAAGATAAATAGCATGCTCAGACCCTGTGAGACATTCTTGTTGAGAAGCCACATGGACACAGGCTGATGGCAGCTAGAGACATGGAGTTGGAGAGGCCACGTGGATCCACAAGATTTTCCACCTACTGGCCTGTGATCATTCTGCATTTGGTATCATTGCATGTGTTGTGTGAGTCTGAAGAAGAATTTGAGGATTGATATCAGACATATGGGCTAATACCAGACTTATGGACTTCATCTGAACTGGGCTGGGATGTTTTCTCAATATTCAATTGCTCTTGTAAACAAAGCTCTGTCTAATACACGAGTGTCTATGAATTTGTTTCTCTAGTCTACCTGGACTAGCACCTTGATCCTGACTCATAGTGACCTTATAGAGTAGAGTAGATCTGCCCGTGTGTGTAAATCTGTATGGAAGCAGAAAGTCCCATCTTTCTCTCACTGGTTTTGCACCTTATGGCTGGTAGCCCAGCTAGTAATCCATTACACTTCCAATATTCCTAACAACAGACAAAGCTACCTACCCCTACTTGCTACTCTTCCCTGGAACCAGATCTCTCTCTCTCTGCTGAATTCTCAAGGCAGTGTTGTTAGGTGGCCTGTTTACAGACAGAGCAGGAGGGAGAGTGAAAGGAAGCCTAAAGGGGCTCCTTGGTCATGGGCTGGGGTTGGGCTTGATGATTTCCAAAGCCAAGATTTGATGTTACATGTGTGAGGTTTTTTAATTAACAGGGAGGCATTTGGGAAATGGAGTGGTGGTGGAAAACAGACTGGTTGACAATGTAGGAAACTTGATTTCTGGTCTCAGTGGGGCATGTCACTTCATCTCTAAGAGTCTCAATTTCTTTAGCAGCTACTAGAACTTGGCACAGATGAATAAGGTCTCCTTCAGCTCACAAATCATAATAGCTACCAATAACCATTTTATATATTAGGCCCTGTGTTGACAATAACCTCATGTAATCCTTGTTTAAAAAATCAGGAAACTGAACCTCAGGGACATTTTGTAAAGAAGTTTGTGTTATTATTCACTGCCTCACAGAAGATCATTAGTCTGTGAATTCATTTGGACCAAGTCAACTAGACTGTGCAAACAAAAAGCTCCCAAAGGCTTTCTTTGTCTTTTCATATTAGGTGAATGCAGTGAAGTCATATGAATATGTGGCTGTGTAAATCAGGAGTCCTGGTGGGGCAGTGGTGAGACGCTGGTGTT